TACGATGCCTCCCCCTCCCCCCTTCTTAACTTTTAACCGCCTTCCTCCCCTTCGATTCGCCTACCCTCCCCCCCTTCCCTTGTTACATTGTCCGAATTCGTGGATTTCCTTGCGTTGTGGATTATTTAGTGCTTTTTTTCGTATTTGATACCGTTACTTGGGGTCGAGTAGTTTCTCGTTTCTCTTGTTGTTTCCTTCTTGTTCCATTGTTACGTCACGGCCACATGTTTTTTTGTTTTCTTTGCCTCGCTTATGTTTTGTTTCTCTCTCTGTTCCTCCCTTTTCCTCTTTCTTTATTTTGAGATGCCGATTTCTCTTTTTTCCTTCTCGTTCCATCTCGTCGAAATTCGTCATATTTCAATGTTGTTTGTGTGTTAATACACCGTGTTTCAGTTGATATATACTTGGTCAGGGAATCTGACCTTGGGGATATTTTTTATTTATAATTTATTTTATTTATTTTATTTATATATTTTATTTATTTATTTGTAATGAAGCATAACTTCATTACAAGAAGTGATGCGTATCAGTCTTGTGGAATCAACTTTAGAATGAAAACATGTAATTTCATTTTATCGATTGTTAGCATTTGTGTCATCTTATACTTAATAAGGTAAACATAACAGCAATATAATAGAATGCTGATTCAACAAGAGACGAAAATTCACGATATAATAGGCAAGTCTTCCGAGTTGTACTTTTTTAAATTGCCCCCGCATAAAAAATGCTCCGTGTAAGAGCACTGGTTTATTCCCAGTTATATAGGGAAATAAGACCTAATTTGCAATTAAAAAAGGATTCAGTAGCTGCAGGTTTGGTACAATAATAGTATGAAATAACAAAAAAAAATATTTGTCATAACTCCTGTTGGCGTTATAGTTATATTATGCTTAGCCTTTGTTATAAAAATATATAAGCGGAGTGACCAAGGCGGATCCAGCAGCGAGGGGGATCCACTGATGGCCGACGGGGAAGCATCACCATTGGCAGAAGCAGCTTCGCCATCGGCAGAAGCAGCTTCGCCATCGGCAGAAGCAGCTTCGCCATCGGCAGAAGCAGCTTCGCCATCGGCAGAAGCAGCAGCCTTCGCCATCGGCAGAAGCAGCTTCGCCATCGGCAGCAGCTTCGCCATCGGCAGAAGCAGCTTCGCCATCCACAGAAGCAGCTTCGCCATCGGCAGAAGCTTCGCCATCGGCAGAAGCAGCTTCGCCATCGGCAGAAGCAGCTTCGCCATCGGCAGAAGCAGCCATAAGCAGCTTCGCCATCGGCAGAAGCAGCTTCGCCATCGGCAGAAGCAGCTTCGCCATCGGCAGAAGCAGCTTCGCCATCGGCAGAAGCAGCTTCGCCATCGGCAGAAGCAAGAAGCAGCCATCAGGCCAATCGGCCACATCCAAAGAAGCAGCTTCGCCATCGGCAGAAGCAATCGGCAGAAGCAGCCATCGGCAGAAGCCATCCCTCTCCCCCCCCCCCTCCCCCCTGCTTTCAAGAGGTGCACCCCCCTCCAACACCAAAAGGAGTCTACCCCTCCACTGACCAACGAAGACGTGCCCAGCTGCGATGGGGATCCGACGGCCGACGTGCAGCCAGAGGAGACCAGCGAGGGCATCACCGACCTGTACCATGTAGTTCCCTACCTCGAAGAATCGATCGCCCTATTGCTTGGGAAGGGTGGTCGGCGCCTCACAGATATTTGCCGCAAGCACTATGTTTAGGTGAAGATCGACCGATTTATGAACTGTTTCTGGGTGGTGGGGACGCCGTAACATGTAGAGGGATTTAAGGCAGAAGTTTTAAAAATTTAATAAAAGGCCGCAGAGCGGAAACGAGTGACAAGGCATTTATAAATAGCAACACACCAACGGGGCATTGTAGGATTTAGCGACTACTAGTTCGGAAATTTTTGTATTCACTACAATGTTTACGTGAGTGGTGGGCCATAAGGATTTTATGTCACAGGAAAAGAAAGAGATATTAATGCCTTTACTTTAGCTTTAAATGATATTTAGTCCCGTTAAGGCCTGCGCATCCCCTACGACCCCAACCTCATCCCTTTAGTAATAGGGAAAGGAGGGAGTCGCCTGTCGGAACTCGGTGAAAAGCACAATGTGGAGGTCCACATTGAAAGGGCATCACAGTGCCTCTTCGTGAATGGCGATGGAAAGAATGTAAAGGAATTTGCAGAGGAGGTCAATTAAATTCTGTAAAATGCCGCCGCAGGGAAAAAGAACAAGAACCATCGCGCAGTCTACCGTGAGAAGGTAAAGAAGGATGCCTATGCCCCTACCCCCGCTGGATAGGGCAGCCATCCTCCGACATTCAAATTCGATCCTCTGCAATTTCCACCGATACAATCCGCCGCCGAGCAGGACAAACTGTCGAAAAACAAAAAACAAAATGAAAACAGCCTGCCGCAAAAACCTAGAAAAAAAAGGAAATGGCAAAAGTTTATAATATGAAAACGATCGCCACCATGATAAGCGACATGGCCACGAGCGAGTGG